GGCGCGTAGCGCTTCGTTGGCTATGTACAATCTCATATCCAAGGCGCGCTTTGTGAAATAATTGCTAATATAACTTTCGCTAGACCTGCCGTCCCAGATATCCAAGAGATCACCCGGTATCAGTTTTGGACTACAAATGAGAAACAGTTGGTTTCAAGAAATATTTTTTTTTGCGGAAGTTCCAGTTTCACTTTCAGTTGTGAGAAAGAACTTTGATACTATAGTTTCCTATAAATTTTACATGCTTTTTGGGCCTTCTCTAATACAGCAGTCCATTTAACCGTAGATTTAAAATCAAGTGAGACTAGTTTATTATTGACATGTGTTATATCTGTTTTATGTACACAGCGAATCCCTTAACAGGTTACCAAGCTCCCGTAGCACAGTCGGTTAGAGCGTCGTACTTATAAGCAGTGTTGGCGTGTATTGCCGAGGGTGCTGAAGTAATGCGAAGGTCGGGGGTTCGAGCCCCCCCGGGAGCAGTGGTTTTCTTTTTTAATTAATTTATTTCAGAAGAAATGTTTCCTTTTCAAGATGAATATGGAAAATAATAAAAGAGATTTGAGCAAATCTTTTCAACTTAATTATTTCGCCGATCCATTCCCTCGACCTTGAGGTTCCCGCGTTGTAGAACGGTTCAATCTTTTGGCAAATCACAATGTGCTAAATTTTATCGTTACATAAGCTAAATGACATTTCTATTAAACAATTAGATTATGAGCTCGAGATTTCTATTGCGTGATAGCTGACGAGGGCGCAGCCCTCGTCAACTATCACGCATAGAAATCGAGAGCAAATAATCTAATTGCTTTAGTATAAATCTACTCGTCGTTCTAAACTTTATCTAAATCCTCTTCATAGACACTTCGAAAACGCCAAGAAGCGGCCCTCATTTTGTTCACAAGGGCACATTGTTACGCTACTCACTATCTATCACAGAATAGATAGTGAGTAGCGTAGCGAATCAGAGAACGGCATTCGTGATAGAACGCTTGTAGATTTATACTAATACGATACAGCATTTTAGACGGAACAGAATGAATACAAAGAGCAAACACTGGTACTGCTGCTGGCATCTAAAAATGAATTTTATTTTGTCATCTATCATGAGTATCATATGAGGTGTAACCATCATCCAGCTCCCGTAGCACAGTCGGTTAGAGCGTCGTACTTATAAGCAGTGCTGGCGTGAATCGCCGAGGGTGCTGAAGTAATGCGAAGGTCGGGGGTTCGAGCCCCCCCGGGAGCACTGGTTTTCCTTTTTATCTAATCTTGAAAGAAAAGTCTTCTTTTTATTTAATGAGCATGGTGCCGTTGGTTGACGAGAAACCAGTTACGTTCAGCAGATATGTTTCAGATCAAATTTTGGCCTTTTATCAGTTATTATTAAAACCTGGTTCGTCGGATAATGTGATTCAAGATCAAAGATCAGAGTTTTCATTAGCTTAGCCATCATGGTATATTAGCCATTATACCATGCTCTTCAAATTTGGTGAAAGTACGGGTAACCTTTCGGCGCGTGATTATTCTACTTTTAATTTAGTTTTCTATATTGTGCGGCCTTAATAAAACAATTATTCCACTCGCGCTTGTTGGATATGAGATGATTATAGCCAACGAGGCGCGTGACGTTTCTTTGGCTATCTACAATCTCATATCCCGGCAATGCGCGCTTGTGGAATAATTGCTAAATATAACCTTCGCTAGACCTGCTGTTCCAGATATCCAGGAGATCACCCGGTATTAGTTTTGAACTACAAATGAGAAACACTTAGTTTCATGGGATATTTTTCTTGCGGAAGTTCCAGTTTCACTTTCAGTTGTGAGAAAAAACATTTTTGATACTATAGTTTCCTATAATACAGCAGTCAATTTAACTGTAGACTTAAAATCAAGTGAGACTAATTTATTATTGAAATGTTTTATATGTGTTTTATATACATCGCGAATCCCTTGGCAGGTCACCAAGCTCCCGTAGCACAGTCGGTTAGAGCGTCGTACTTATAGGCAGTGCTGGCGTGAACCGCCGAGGGTGCTGAAGTAATGCGAAGGTCGGGGGTTCGAGCCCCCCCGGGAGCAAAATTTTTTTTTTTAGTTTACTTATTTCAAAGTTTCCTTTTCAAGATGAATATGGAAAATTATAAAAGAGATTTCAATAAATTTTTCCAACTTAATTATTTCGCCGATCCATTCCCTCGACCTTGAGGTCCCCAAGTTGTAGAACGATTAAATCTTTTGGCTCGTCACAATGTGTTTAATTTTATCGTTACATAAGCTAAATGACATTTCTATTACGATACAATATTGTAGAGGGAACAGAATGAATACAAAGAGCAAACACTGTTATTATATCTCTCAGTTAGTACGCGCGCAGTGATTGGTCAATTTAGCGGGCCGTACTCTCCTGTACGGCCCGCTAAAATTTAAAGTTGGTTTTGTTGCCAAACTTTTTCGTGATTTATCGAAAAGAGTTCTTAACTTTTATAGCTTAAAACTTTCTTATACTCTAAATTATGTAATAAAGCCAGCTAACGACTTAAAAACAGTGTCAAACTGACTCGTTTTGCTTTCGAAGTGTCAGAAATTTGAAGCCTTTCCGAGTCCGCGTGAATAATAGAAATCGTTTCCTAACCCGTCAGACACACAGTACAGATATAATAAATATCTTACTAACCTCGTCTTCTCGGTCCGCACTGTAAGTTACGGATCCTCGTTTTTTTTCCCTTCGATTTATGACCCGCGCGCTTCGCGCTTCCCGCCATAAATCGAAGGGGAAAAAACTCGGTTCGTAACTTACAGTGCGGACCTCGAACTCGGTTAGTAAGAGGTATGTACTGCTGCTGGCATCTAAAATGAATGTTATTTCTGTCATCTATCATGGGTATCATAAGGTGTAACCATCATCCAACTCCCGTAGCACAGTCGGTTAGAGCGTCGTACTTATAAGCAGTGCTGGCGTGAACCGCCGAGGGTGCTGAAGTATTGCGAAGGTCGGGGGTTCGAGTCCCCCCGGGAGCACTGGTTTTCCTTTTTATCTAATCTTGAAAGAAAAGTCTTCTATTTAATTTAATGAGCATGGTACAGTTGGTTGACGAGAAACCAGTTACGTTCAGCAGATATGATGCTCAATTTCAGATCATATTTTGGCCTTTTATCAGTTATTATTAAAACCTGGATCGTAGGATAATGTGATTCAAGATCAAAGATCAGAGTTTTCATTGGCTTAGCCATCATGGTTTATAAGCCATTATACCATGCTCTGCAAATTTGGTGAGCGTGCGGGCAACCTTTCGGCGAATTTTTATCCTAATTTTAATTTAGTTTTCTATATTTCGCAGTCTTTTGAAATAAAACAATTATTCTACTCGCGCTTGTTAGGTATGAGATGATTATAACCAACGAGGCGCGTAGCGCTTCGTTGGCTTTCTACAATCTCATATCCAACGCGCACTTCTGGAATAATTGCTAAATATAACTTTCGCTAGACCTGCCGTTCTGAATATTCAAGGGATCTCGCGATATCTTTTTGGACTACAAATAAGAAACACTCGGTTTCAAGGAATATCTTTATTTGCGGAAGTTCCAGTTTCACTTTCAGTTGCGAGAAAAACATTTTTGATACTATAGCTTTGCTTTAAAATTTTCATACTTTTTGCATTGGGCCTTCTCTAATACAGCAGTCTATTTAGCTGTGGGCTCAAAATTGATGTTCAAAGTAAACCTTATTTATTGTTGAAATGTTTTATATGTGTTTTATATACACCGCGAATCCCTTGGCATGTTATCAAGCTCCCGTAGCACAGTCGGTTAGAGCGTCGTACTTATAAGCAGTGCTGGCGTGAACCGCCGAGAGTGCTGAGGTAATGCGAAGGTCGGGGGTTCGAGCCCCCCCGGGAGCATTTTGTTTTTTTTTTTAGTTTACTTATTTCAGAAGAAAAGTTTCCTTTTCAAGTTGAATATGGAAAACAATAAAAGAGATTTGAACAAATTTTTTTAACTTTTTAGAACCTGCGATCAGAGGCGATCATCTCGGTAAGTTTTGTAGCCGATATATCAAGCGAGATCAGTCGACTTATGATAATCCGGGAACGTATGTGTAAAAATTCAGGAGAACTCGAAGCGAGCGATCAATCCGGCTAATGCGTTTGATGTCAGTCTTGCAGCTTTCTTTCGCCCTGGATGAAGTCTAGAAATACTGTTCAGAAAATTATTTTTATAACTCCGCTTAGACAGAAGTAAAAAGGATAATGAAAGAGATTTAACGACTAAATGTGTTAGAGAATAGTACTGGGAAAGCGTTCCCTCACGGAATCTGCAGTGAAGCCGTAATTCAGTTTTCTGGCAGCTCACAGGATACAGTGACTCATGGTTGGTTGAAAACGAGCCACATTTTCTGCAGACAGAGATACCTAAAAATTCATACCACTTCATTTTCATTTAGGGGATAAACGCGATATTTGTCGTGTGGAGCAGAGGTCCTGCTCGAGAGCATATCTTTTTAAAATTGTAATATCAATGAAAAGCAGGAAGTAAATATTATACAATAGGGTCACGAGATAAGTAATTTTCTAGATTTCGTAAAATAAAAAGCTTCAGGCTTGTAATGTATAGCCCTCGGACACTATATGCTCCTTAAGCTTCCAACCTCGACGACCTTGTAGGTCCTTATAGGTCTTACAGTGGTCGTGCCACGAGGACACCGAATGCTGTTCATGATCTTCTTATCTTAAGTTTTATTTGAAAACTAATAATTGTTCAATCTGTTTATTTTAAGTTTCCGGATCCTAAGATGGTTATTGGGCTGCCAATTTCAACTCGAGATGATACGAGTGAGGTGAGTGAGGTGACAAAACCTATTAGGAAAAAATTACAGTTTTTCAGACGAGAGTCGAACCCATGCCCTTCCGCACACTACTTGACGAATGGCATATAATGCTACGAAAGAAATTACAGTAGAACCTCCAGTAACGACCACCTCTTTTTATCGGCAAAAAATTTGTCCCGAACATGTTCATTCACAAGGTGGCCGCTGTAGAATGGTTCGTCCGCACAATAATATGTACTTCATAACTATAGACGGAACCTGGAGAATTACTTTGATAAATTTATATATTTTTATTCAAAAACTGAGAGTATTTCTAATCTACTGTTGGTTTTACTTCGTGCCTTGATAGTTACAGTGATGCAACAAAAGCATACAGAGTACGATCACTGCAATCACGACGGACTATGAAACAAAAGGCCATTTCCGAGATACCTTGTGCCTCTGTTTCAAAACGAGTCCTGGTGCAAAACATTTCATATTAAATGAGTTTGATTTGTATGAAAAAGGACCTCTGGCCGGAACACGTTTTCTTATGAATGGTTTTGCCTGAAGACTCGTTTTGACACAGAGACAAAAGGCAACTTGGAAATGGCCTAATCTGATGAAAAAGTTACAAAATGTATAACAAAAAGTGCAACAGAATTCGCAATTTTAAAATTCACGTTTGCACTTGTGAGCCTTGAGCTAGCTCCAACAATGCTAACAATATTGAATGCATTCGAAGATGTGAAGTTAGTCTATCATTGTATGGATTTTCAACTAAGCTATGTCTAGGTATTCTTTTGATGCTAAGAGTTTTTGGAATGTCCGACAATAACATATAATTAGGGAACCTTTCGAAAAGGCACATCTTGGTCTAGGCCACACGTGAGCACTACATTTGTGACCTTCTTCCACTAACGGAACACTTCCCATAAGGGACCTTACACGTGGTCCATAGAATGCTCCACTTTGGGAATTCGACTACGTTTGTTTCTATTTCGGAAGCATGCTTTTCTCAGGGCTTCTTTTTCCTTGTCCAATAATGTCTTTGTTGTTTTAGAAACATGAGTTCTAAGCCTGACTTAAGTTCAGAGTCAGAGGGTAAATATTGATCCTCGACTAGTTCATCCTCAAAATCCGCTTCAGTTAATTCCACTTCATCTTCTGAAGTTGTAAAGCTGCTTCTCCGCGAAGAAGCTGTGTAAACTTGTTCATCCAGTGAATCTACTTTGATTCCATCGCGGTTTGATCGAATATGTTTTATCACCACAATACCAACCACAGCTCCTAATACGACGATACCAAGGACTATGCCAGCTGTTGTTACGACTATTGAGGTGGTGTTCTCTCGTTCAGGGACCTGAGAATGAAGAGATTTAGCGCAAAGAGTTAATTTTGTTACGAAGATGAACCAAATCTATGATTACTAAGACTGATATATTTTTTGGTAAACTTAGGATCTGTCCACACTACGCCGGTGCAATTTGAAAACGGAGGTTTCACTCTGAAAACGCATCAAATGTTTTCCGTCCACGCTGAATCGGAAGAATTTGAAAACCCAATAATCACCGGTCTTTTTGGATTTGTGTTTGAGGAAAACTCGGTCAAGGGAATCACACGATTATCAAGACACTGTCGTTTTTGTAAAGCTCCGTTTGCGTGACGGATTAGTGTGGACGGTACTGGCCTAACCTTAGAAATAAGGCTGTGTTTCTAAATCTCACGGCGTAGTGTGAAAACTGCCTGAACCAGTAATAGTCAATCAATGATCTGACCATTAGATTCCATGACACAAATTCTCAATCGGTCAGTAATCATAATTTACCAGCAGCATCTTCCAAAAAAATAATATCGATCTAGTGATCGCTTATCTTTTTTAACCACAAACAATCGCATATTTACAGAAAATATTTTGTTAAATTTCGATCTCTGTACTCGACTTACTCTGATCGTTTTTATGATTGTCTTTGTTCTCTCATTTTTATTCGTTTCTTTGTTATGTGGAGCAGTGCTAGCAAGAAATGCATCCATCATTTTCTCTGAGTTTCGCAGTTTCTCCAATTCCTCCAGTTTGTCAACTTGTTTTTCTTGCGGTTTTTTCTTGTGCTTTATAGATCCATCTTTAAGAGGGATCTTCCTAGAAGAGGAGTCTTTACTTTTATGGCCTGCAGAAAATGAGAAATACAATGTAAAACATTATATTTGCATTCACACGATTACCTATGCGTTATAAATTTAGGGTTTAAAAGGTACAACATTTGCCTGATGCTGTAGATTTAAGATTTGATCAATGCTCAACAGGAAAAGAAAAAATATTAAGAAACACCACAAAGAAATAAATATTATTGAAACAAACTGTGAGGATAAACTAACATTAGGGAAGAAATTAATATACATGCTAGTAGGCGATTTGTGTCCGCACGTCGAATAAGTGAAGAAAAATATTGTATATTCTTTCCCTTTCTTGAGAAACCCGATCTGAACGCTTGTGAAACTGTCGCCGGATTGGGGACACAGGAGTGAACTATTTGACCTCGCTAATCTGACACAGTTCACGTGTCATACGTATACATGAATCGCACCCGTCACATAGCACACTGGTTGCGATAAAACTGCATTTATAAAACAGAACGCAAGGTTTTTTTTTCATACCTGAAACCAGACTGCCGTTTTGTTTCTCTGGCGTGTAGTAGCAGAGAAAAAACATGTGATCTTTCTCCGCCCGATGGATGCCGTACGGACATTCGCCACCCTCGTAATCAATATTGCCTCGGTCCTCGTCGTCAAATTTGACGAACTCTGTGACCACATTCATTCCCTTCACCTGAAATATGACAATATATTTTAATATAATGCAACTGTTAGACCAAAAACGTTTGATTAACAGTTTGAACGGCATAGACTAAATAAAAAATTTAATAGGTAGGAGTAGAATACAAATCAGTGCGAAAATGAACAGAGCTCAGTGTTAACTAGAGCGGCTTTCACCTGAGTACATTCCCAACTAATTCGCATTTGCTTTGGTTTTGCTTTACTATGCAGAACAATTGGTTTAAAAATCTCGCGCTGCTTTCTCAACCAATCAGTAGTAACAAGAGACAATGAGTGGTCTCTTGGTAGCAAAACCTCAGTAAACTAATTGTAAGTCACTCGCACACGTTTTCCCGCGCTTTGCATCGGCTATATGTGTTTGCTTGGAGTTTTAATTGGTTGACTGGATTGTCTATGCCCCTTTATGATTGGCCAGAGTAGTTCCTTTGGTTTTACGACACTCTTTTGAAAGCCTCTCTAAGCACGAAAAGAGTTTATTTTTTACTTAAGTCCGCTAATTCTGTTAAACAATAGAAAACACTCCCCACATCATCCAGCTCCCGTAGCACAGTCGGTTAGAGCGTCGTACTTATAAGCAGTGCTGGCGTGAACCGCCGAGGGTGCTGAAGTAATGCGAAGGTCGGGGGTTCGAGGCCCCCCGGGAGCACTGGTTTTCCTTTTTATTTATCTTGAAAGAAAAGTCTTCCTTTTATTTAATGAGCATCGTGCAGTTGGTCGACGAGAAACAAGTTACGTTCAACAGATATGATGCTAAATTTAACTTAAAAGTTTTAGCTGTTTATCACTTAGTATAACTTTCCCTAGAGCTTCCATTCCAAATATTTAAGAGATCACCCGGTTTTTTTTCAAATTAAAAATGAGATACACTCGGTTTCGAAATATTTTCAGTGGAAGTTTCATTTTCAGTTGCGAAAACAACATTTTGATACTATAGTGTCGATATGGTATTTCCATACATCTTAGGTCCTCTATAATTCAACGGCCCATTTAGCTTTAATTATTGACACTTATTTAATATTAAAATATATGCTCTATACGTGTTTTGTATACATCGCGAATCCCTTAGCAGGTTATCAAGCTACCGTAGCACAGTCGGTTAGAGCGTCGTACTTATAAGCGGTGCTGGCGTGAACCGCCGAGGGTGCTGAAGTAATGCGAAGGTCGGGGGTTCGAGCCCCCCCGGGAGCATTTTTGTCTTCTTTATCGCGCAGTATGAAGAAATTTCGAAACATAACTAACTTGAATAAAATTTGGTTTACCGGTAAATGAACTCTCTCCAGTTTCTTACCTTCTTTTTGCACATCTCCAATTTATCATAACCCTGGAAAGAATGTGCCGTTTTATAGCTTTACGTTTTGTTCGCTTCTTCGTTAAATATCGTGGAAAACTACCGAGGGTGGTCTGATCTAATCTTACGTACTACATTTTTTCGATAGTTTCTCCCTGAATTTCCCACTTTTTGGTTTCGTTCGCTCAAGCTATTCAGCTGTAAACAAAGCTGGATCTCAAATAGTGTTTGTTTGCTTGTTTGTTTGTTTGTTTTTGATAAACTCACCTTCTGGCAAAGTATCGAATCATAGGCAAATAACAAGAACGGAGCTTTGTTCGGCAAAGCGATTTCCTGGCTGGCAGAACCAGTTGTGCTGCAACAGAAAAAGATCTTGGTGTCTTCATTAAAAAGACCCTCGGGTAACACGCCTTCTCTGGAGTTTTTGTTGTCTTTGTTTTCGTCATCCCATATGACAAAACCCTCGTCAAGACCTGTAGGACAACTTGAGCCTTTCTTGTAGATGCAGTATTTTCCATCTGGCCACCTGGAAAAGACATACATGTAGTTAGGAAAAAAAAAAGGCAAAATGCTCCCGGGGGGGCTCGAACCCCCGACCTTCGCATTACTTCAGCACCCTCGGCGGTTCACGCCAGCACTGCTTATAAGTACGACGCTCTAACCGACTGTGCTACGGGAGCTGGATGACGGGTACATAAAAAACCCGCCTATATATTTTTTTTTAGATGCCAATGGCAGTATTTGTTTGCTCTTGGTATTCATTGTGTTCCTTCTACAATACTGTATCATAGTTTTTGCAACGATAACAATTAGCTTACTGTGTTGAGCCAAAAAGATTCAATCGCTCGTCAGCGCGGGAACCTGAAGGTCGTGTTAAGGTTGCATCAAGTGCGGGGTAAACAATAAAAAAAAAATGGTGCGCGGAGCAAGTGTTCGAATTTCGCTTAATTACATTACCTCTCTTACGTCTGAGGAATATGACATTATGATATATTGATTAAACAAAATTTAGATTCTTTTCACCCAAGGAATATTTCTAACGACCATTACGGATGATGATGCTTTTGAACTTTGATATCTAAAAAGGTGCAATTGACAGCTGGGCACAGATTTAGCAAATATGATGACTTTCTAAATTCTGTATCGTTCTTTACTTCTGCTCTTTTTATCATTATTGTTTTCACAGTGCGACGATAACTTTGTGCTGAAACCATTTCTTAGAATCAAACTTAAGACAAGGGCAAAAATGCACGCACTGCTGAGAAGTGTGGTCGAAACGCAAGATTTGGTTGAATGAGTTATCGGGGAGTTATTTTCTCAGTAATGGAGATAAATTTCGCAGAAAATTTCTGCCCACCTTCCTCCGCCTTCTTCGTCCATCTTGATGCAGAATTCATGTTTTATTCCTTCATCGCTGAATTCACCGGCCAAATGAAAACTGTCTGAATGCTGATTTTCCGTTCCATCATCTTCAGTGTCGTGAAACCTGTACCCAGTCTTCCATTCGAAGCCATCGGCCATGGGACAGCCATCAACTGGCTTAGGAAGTCCATAAGTCCCTGATGGCCATTTGAGCTCTGTTTACAAATAAAAGTTCATTAAACTCTGAGGACACTTCACTTCTGGCATATTTGCCCATATAATAGTCTGAAATTTCTACTAAGATCTAAACTTACATTTCAACGGATTCTAAAAGTATTTGTGTATTCGATTAAAATGACCTTTTTCAAGAGAGAATGCCCTCGCGTTATTTTTTTAAATTTTTTTGTCATTAAGCTTTTTTTAGAAAAAATGGATACCGGTATCTATAACAGCATATCTAAAAGAACGAGAAAAAAAATACACGGAGAACCTCCTGTAACTCCCATCTCCAATACATGGACAGTTCCGATAAGCAGACATTACATCTGTGGTCCCCGTCTGGGGGGACTCCCATCATTAAACAGTGACTGTTTTTCCATGTTGCAGGCAAATTCTTCACCATATATATATGCACAGACACCTATCATAAGATCGCTCTAAGGGAATTTACAGGAGTATCTGCTTTTTTCATTAAAAACTGGATCATTGGATAAGGCAATTCATGAGTTTTTATTGGCTTAGCCATCGTGGTATATGAGCCATTATACCATGCTCTACAAATATGGTAAACCTACGTGTAATTCTTTAGGGCGTTTCTATTATTATTATTATTATTATTATTATTATTATTATTATTATTATTATTTCATTTAGTTTTCTATATTTTTGGGCGTTTTTAATAAAACAATTATTCCACTCGCGCTTGTTGGATATGAGATGTTATAGCCAACTCATATCCAACGCCCGCTCGTGGAATAATTGTTAAGTAAGAGACCGTTACTTTGCCCGTACTTACCATTAATACAATGTACTCACCAGGAGTTGAAGGTAGTGACTTTTTACTTGTCCTAGGAGACTTCTTTAAGCGAGTGTCTTTTTCAACGCTCTTTTTATCTTTGTTTATCCTTTTGTTTCTTTTCTGACTGTTATCATTCAAGAGCTCTTCAAGACTTACATCTCTCTTGCTTTCCTCCACATTGTTGTTCAAGGTTTTGACGGATGCTGGGTCAATCGACGCTTCAGATTCGATGAGGAGCCCGGGCGAACTGGTGACTAGTGAACTTCTTTCCTGCCGCACATTACCAACAGTTCCTAGAATTCGAATCTCGGTGTCTGGAATTCGCTTAACGTAATATACTGGAGCTGCAAGTAAGAGAAAAATCATTGTGCCCTCCTCAATGTATGAAAATAGTTTTTCTCCAAGCTTAACGCTCAAATCGTCAGCCATGTCCCAAATGCACCATGTTCAATCAGAGGCCGCTTAAAGGTTAATATTTGTAATAAGTAATATATATGACTCTCAGTAAACGGCAGTGTTTTTTTTACATCGCTATACTATGGATATGAAATTTTTGATTGGCGACGACAGAGCTATTTATTTCTTGTGCCTTTCGTTTTCCGAAATCTTTATTTTTTGCATTAAGGAATTAATTAATGAAATGTTATATTTTATTTATTTACTTTTATTTACTCAAATTCAATTACACAGATGATCAAAATAAAACAAAATAAAGAATTTAAAAATATATTTACAAGTATAAAACGGAGATATCTGAGTATTATACATGTAGTCACACAAAATGTACGTTATCACACTAAAACGGTATTAACCTCTGTCATTTTCAGTTGTATATCATGACAGGTATCTTACCCAAGTCATATTCCACAAACGAGCAGAGTTCCAGCAATACAACAAAAACAAGCTTGAAAGGAAGAGTCATCTTTCAGGAATTACTGGAATAGTATTCATCTCTATTGTAATTGAGCTGAAAAACAATGAAACAATACATTATTCTGTGATTATATAGGCAATCAAATTTTGGCAAACATGTACATACGTAAAAATGATAACTAAGCGCAAAAATCAGTTTGATACCCCATAGAGTTTAGATGACGCTTTGCACAGAATTGTTGAAAATCGTCAAAAACACTGGCTGAGCAAATATTCGGGAACTCGGGCTCAGCCGGAGTTCCGGGAAGACGTCGAAAGAAAAGGAAAAAAAAATTGAATCAAAACAGTCAGAAGAAAAAGTGAACTGTCTATGCATAAACTGCCTACTCCAATACTTCATATGTAATGATGTAATGGAGCAGCTCAGTCAAAATTGCTCTCAGTGCATACAACTTTGGAAATTTGTTACAAATATAATTTCGAGAGGCAGTCTTGAAACGTCGTATGCCCTGAATGCAGTACATCGTGTATATATATCTCGTATTGCATTGGTCGTGACTGGCTGCCCTAGCATACTAGTTCTCTAAGAGCACAGGTATTCCCTACAGATAATGTAGTCTCTGGTTCGTTTTCCTTTAGTTTGTAATGCTGCGTTCTCTACGTCAGGTAAACGATATTAAACGATGCTTCTGATTGATGTACAGTCATAGCACGGTAATCATCTCAACGAACCTTGAATCTCTCTTGGCGAGCCAGAAGGATTTTTATCCTACGGCAAAAAGAAGCATTCTAACATTTTAACCCCGCTTTTAAAGTCATTTACTCGTTTATTTGCACGAAAGTGCGAAAAATTTTCATCACGTAACTTCAAACACGTAATTTATCTAAACAATATTATTTACTTTAGCATATGAACCCACGTTATAGCTATAAGGACTATTGAAAGACGTTTAAACGAACCAGGGTGGCATCGAGTGGCAGCAACTGTCAAATTTTGTCGAACTGAGAACTTTGGACAAACCCCACACAAGTGAAAATAATTATCAATGTTTTATTTTGGGCTGGTCTAGCTCTTGTTTTGGTTTAGTGAAGCATTCACTTGGAAAGACTTCGACCACAGCTTTCGTAATTTTTAAATCATGTAAAGTTATTTCCCAATTTTTTTGGCTGATATCAATATTTGCGCAGTTTTTATTTTTAAACCATAAAATAACGAGAGATAATTAGAAATTTGATCCTTTTGAATGAAGAAATAATGCTATTGCTGAAATAGTTGATCTCTTAACTATTCACTTTTTACTACAATTAAAGCAATCTTCGAAATGCGACAAATCTGTTTCCCTATACTAAAATTTGTCGCTTAAATACCCACCCAGATAATTCAGTTCCGTTAGAGTAAAACCGTGTCAAATAAAAGAAATCTATTTTCATAGCTGCAACTAATAATCACGGCTAGCGTTTGTGAATTGAAACAAAGCAACCATAAAAACTAACAACGTGACTCGAACCCAAACTGACTTCATAGTATCTAACACAATATTCACCCAATCAAACATGAACACAGATTAAGACATTTCAGAACTAACTTCGCTCAATTATATCAATAAGAACGTTTTAAAACGTCTTAAAAATAATTCCCTATCGACCTTACCTTTACTGAAGGTTTTAGGGGTCCGCCATATTTCTTTTCACAACATTTCTCTATGAATAAATTAACACGAACCCTTCAGTTAGATAATAACCCGCTCAACCGCACAACAAACAGGTCTCTTATGACGTCACAGATTTCAAGCCCTCTTATTTCGAGACTGCGCTTGATCAATTGTTGAAAGAGTCAACGAGGGAAACTTGGCGATTCTTTTCCTATTTACTATCGCTTGACAGAACAGTGTCAAGAAAATTTGATCACTGGCATTTTACGGATGACTTGGCTGTCGTTTATATTAGAAGGGAAGGCTGATAACAGGTGGAGGGGGGGTGGTGCATTGTCGTCTGAAACAATGAATATATGGAGCGATGGGAGGACATTTTGGGGTTAGACAAGATGTCGCCACTGCAGGACAAGAAGCAGGATCAGTTTCAGTGTATAGAAATAATTGCCTATAGCTAGTTGTAACAACTGTTTCCTATTCGTGCTTTCTCAAGCGATTATCTTGTTTTAGGATTGAGATGATTGCAGCTAATGAAGCGTTTGACTCAAGCCGCAGACTAAACTCTCTCGCTCTATATACGCTGGGCGGATTTAAAAACGTATTTTCAGATAATTTTTACTTCTCTTAAACAAAGTAGACTGAACTAATTCAAGTTTCCGCCGGGAATGAGTGTTTCTGCCAAAACTGAAAAAGCGTTTGTATTTTTAGCAAGGCGACTCAGGCCCTTTGTAATTAGAGAAATATCTACGATAGTAGTTGCAGTGCTAGGTTACGGTTGGCTTACAGTTTCTCTCAAATGCCAATAAACAGCGTCAAAGGCGTGCGCCAACGCTCCAACTAGAGCGTATTCATTCCATTCGTGTTACATGACCTACATGCCAAAGCTTATAAATTCGACCGAGGTCCTTATACTGGGAAACTGGTACGAGGTTGGGGTTGTAAAGCGAGCGACTGAGTGCATGAAAACCAAACTAGAAATAAGACATTTCTACATGCATTTTACTGGTAGATCATTGTTACTCAAAAACCATGACAGTGATCTTAGAGTACGACAGTGACATATGGGATCCGGCCCAGTGACTCGTCAGTCGTCAAGTTTCCAGGAATTCAACTTGAGCCTTGAGGCTGTAAAAGCTCTAAACCCCTAAACTGCGTAGATTTGTTCTTACACACACGAAGCATTTACAACAGTCAGAAAAGTTCACTACTTCATTTCTCCCTTTGATCTGTCACTTTAAGACAAAATTATAAATTCCAGTTCATGTCAGCTTTTAAAA